CCTTCTCTCAGAGACATAAATTTAATCGTGTTAAGTTTACCGACAAATGGACATCAGAAAAGCTCATCTTACAATGCCCAGCTCTCGAATATTACATAGTGAGAGGGGTTTCGGTGATGATATAACATTGTTACGTGTGCGTTCTAAGTCTCTGTTGACCTTCGTTCATATTGAGGACACTGAAGAGCATATTGATGGTGAACATATACTTGAAATTGATGCTCCCATGCTTGAGTATATGAAGCTCAGAGACGCTCAAACTGCGAGATTCAAACTAGAGAATACGACTTTCCTTGTAAAAGTGCATATAAATACTGCGTTTAACTTGACTCCCGAAAAGAGGTTCTGTCCAAATGATGTACAAATGAGAAATATGATTGGTAATTTTCTCCTTGCAATCTCTAGGGTTGAAAATATGGTCATTGCCTCGTGTACTCTCGAGGTAACCTATGTTGAAGTCCTATCTTAATTCTGAAGTTTATATTCTAGGTAGGGCCGGTCATGAGATTTTGGAAGTTTTAAACTGTTTATAAAAAATTCTAGTAAAATATATGAAGTAAACCATCACACCTAACATTCTTTCCTGATAATTTTGTTGTTGTAGGTCATCTATGATTACTCAAGATATGAACAGCTACCAGTATTTCGTAACCTATCTTCTTTACATGTCAAATTAGACGGCTACGTGTTGGAAATGTTGCCAGTCTTTATTGAGAGCTGCCCAAATCTAAATCTCTTGTCCTGGTGAGTTATATTATCTAGATGATAACATAACCGATGCTAATTAAAGGGTGAATAAAGTATCTTATGTTGGAACATGTGTTTCTTCCACTCGGCTGTATTTGTACGTGCAGGGATCTATTCAAAATCACGTCAAGATGGGAATAGCTGTTTTTCCTAGACGTGCACGTGTCCAGCCATCTCTCGAGTACACTGAGATAAAAAGGCCATTTAAAGGGGATACGTTGGAGATGAAACTAGTTGCTTACTTACTTGTGACCTCACCAAACCTCAAGAAACTAACCTTACGCTTGGATGATTCCTTAAAGAAAGATAAATCTGTCATCTTCAACGAACTCCGTATGATGCCAAGACTCTCTAGAACTTGTAAAGTTGTCGTGCTCTCTGATGATCCATACCAATGAATCAGCATACAAGTTTGTCTGTTTGAGTACTTAATTAAGTTAATATGAACTATTTGTTTCTTCTTAGTTTATGATGACATTTGAAGTGTTGAATTTCATAAGACATTAATCATATTTATGAGTCAAATCAGTATAATTCCATCGTGCTTTCTTCTTAGTTTATGATGACATTGAAGGGTTGAAGTTTGTAAGAAAATTATATTATCTAAACTATATTAAAAGGAGCATATGAAGAGCAGTTAGCCTATCCACGTCAGCAAAATAAATCCTCCAATCAGAGACTCTGTTTAAAACACATCATACTGGCTTTTCGAATGGGCTCTGACCACACTTTCGTATGGGTTTTTTGTGATTTATTTTGGGCTCAGGTTATTATTTAGCCCATCTCATCAAACAAATCTA